CCTAATGCCCGGCCGCGTGCCCCCCCCCCCTCCCTTCCCCTTCGCGTTACATCGCGCGATTCGAATTGCAAAGCGCGACAGGACGGTCGCCGCGTCGAATCCTTATCCGGAACGTGCGGCAAAAGGTGGAAGCACGTGGAACCGCCGCACGTGCGAAACGAGAAGAGCGAACAGCAGTCGTTACCCCGCGAATCCAAGTGTGGTAATTTTTACGCGCTCATCAATGCAAAATCGCAAGGGCGAAACAGTCGCCCGTTGCTCACCTCCACTCGCGTTATTTCGCCGCACGTTATTTCACGTGCACAGCTCAACGCATTTTACAGGCTTACACTTCAAGTTGCATTTAAAATGCGCAGTTCACGCGCAAGGATCTCACATTTCCTCATCCTCCTCTGTCATTTTTTTCTAACAAGAAACATGTGTCATTAATTGGCCGTGAAAACGTGTTGAATTTCACGAATGCGGCCACATCTCTTTCAAATGTATACTTTTGTAATAAATCGATCGCGTCGCAAATCTACTGTGTTACTGTAAATTTTCAATACAACAGCTTTATAACGTGATAACGTGTAACGTCGATTTACATTACTGGAATAACCACAAGTCGCGCGCGCAAATATGTAACTTCACATACGCATAAGCGTGAACTTACCGCACACTTGGATTCGCAGTGCACTCCGCCGCTGCGGAGGTAATTGGACCGCTGGCACATTTTACAAGCGTGCGTGAACGAACTGCGTCGTCGCTTGCCATCTCCTCGCGTTCCTTTCAATCCGTCATTCTCCGGATCTCGTCCTCGTTCGGACAAACTCCTTTCCCTTCCGCCCTCTTAGTGCAAGGATAAAAAGCCTAGTCGAATCCGTTCGCGCAACGACGATGACGAAATGATCTTCGGAGAGCGTCTCCGCGATAATGCCGTCCGCGACAGAACGCCTCGGGACCCTAACGTATTTCCAGGCGAGAGCTATTATCGCGAATTATTCTCGGCGTAACGTTTCGCAGAACCTTCTCTTCGCGGCTGTAAGTCTCATGACACCGATGGCCGACGAGTCGAAGGACTCTCGAAGAGAGTAGAACGCCGCTACGTGACTCAGGGAGTCGCCTCGAGGTAACTTTCTGTTTCGCCCGGGGCCCGCGGTCAACATTTGCAGTCGCAGACGTCAGTCGGTCTCTCCTTTGAGAAAGAAAAAAGAAAGAGAGAGAGAGAGAGAGCACGCTCGAGCCGAAGGAATATTGATGAATGCTCCATCTTCCGCGGACAACCTCGTAGCGCGCGACGGCGACACTGATGGATCGGAGTTCCAGATATTCATAGAGAAGCGACATTGAGTTCGATATATCGATAGTCCGCCACTTGAATTCTCCGTGATACTCGGAGGAAGCGGGTGAGGAAGTGAGGAAAGGAAGATGGGTAAGAAGGGAAGGTTAGCTTGCGAGAGGCTAATTTGGAAAATTCATTTGAGTAGGAATACTCTCGCCATTATTTGTAGCTACTCGCTGCAACTCGTTGTAACATCAAGAAGGACTTCTTTTCAGTCACGATATGCCAAAATGATGACAAAAATAACACGATTTGTTGGCGCATCATGCGCACTTTCAACCGAGAAGTAGCTGACCTTCAGTTCTGAATTAAAATGGCGCTCGGTCGTGCGATTCAGACAGCGAACCGCGAGTTCCGAATTAAACCGATCCTGTCCGATGTCTATTCTCTATTAATATCTCGAGCTCTGACGGGCTCTTACATCGTTATTCATAATCGGAGCTTACATTTAAGGCTTTAAATTCGCCCGCAGGTGCGGCTCATTTAATTAGTCACGGAGCATCTGAAGATGATTTTAAAGCGGCTTTAAATATCAACAATATCCGACTACGAATATCAGCATTAGACTTTCTCGGGCGAGAACGTGTCTCCGCGAATGTTCCGCGCTCCCTCGTCTCTCCGTGGCCCTTCGACGGCCCTTTTCCCGTTCTCCTCGTCTCACAGGACGATCGTCACGCGGCTCGAGCGAGGACTCGGCCTCTCGCTTAATCCTTAAAACTCTTAGCAGCTAATTAGATGATTATATCGGAAGAGACACGAGAAGATGAAGATAAATTCGAGTAAAACTACCACGGAGCCATGGATGGCTCACTCGAGACACAAGTATATATCCGCCTTCCCTTCGTCGTCGTTAAAGCTTCGTCGATATATCTCCTCCCCCTGGATCCACCCCGTGATCTTCCTCCGCAACTACCGCGCCGGAGGAGGAGGAGGAGGAGCGAGAAGATGAAAGATGTCGATCATCGAATCCGCAATGCAGTCTTCCCCGCTTATTCGCCTCCCGTTACGCCCTCGATGTATCCCCGAGACCATCGCGCGGGCACGCGATCGTCATCCCCGGGATATCGCGTTCATGTGCGCGAGTCCTCAAGGACTTCTCGCCCTGTGCCCTCCCGCAGCCGATTACTTCCGGGGTAGACGGCGGGGGTCGGGCGTCGCGCTGCGTCCCTAGGAGAGCTTGGGGGCGTCGGGCTTGTCTCAGAAGTTCGCCTCCAACGAGCTCTCGAGCTCGCTCAAGGCCGGCACCAGCGTCTGCAGCGAGAAGTATCGCGACCGGTCAGCCGCGTCCACGCTGGTCACGTGCTGGAACTGACACGGCTGGCTGATGTTGCTCTTGGCCGGCAGCACGACCTTCTTCTGCACCGGCTTCTTCTTCTTCTTGCCCGGCACCGACAGGCTGATGTTCTCCGGACAGGACACCAGGCGCTCTATGTGCTGCCACAGATCGTTCGCCGCCTTCGAGTTGTCGAAGCTGAGCCCGGCCAGGCGGGTGTGATCCGACGAGAGACACATCGTGTGGAAGGCTGGCCCCGACACCTGCGACACATTCGTTTCGGGCGGGCTCTTATCGAGGTCGTTCGTCTCACCCGAGTCGAAATTTTCACGCCACTCTCTCGACGTTCTTAACACGTGGAGTTGCTCACCGGTGATCGGCATTATCTTTGACGGAACAGTATTACCGGCTGCGATTAGTTGGCCAGTGATAAATTACTCTCGCCCGGCAGTTTTATCACTCGCACTCGAGTAATAAAACTATTGTTTATCATCGGCCAATTTATCACAGCCGGCAATAGCTTTCTGTCGAAGAGGTGCCGTTTTGAAGTTTGAAATGTTAAGGTTCGAATTCATTTTTTTAAAACAGCGACTTCTTCTACTTTTCCTGAACGTTTCAACGTCATACTGGATTCGCCATTTTGAAGTTTCGAATTCTGACTTCAGATTCGAGGAGAGCATCGCAAGAAACATTCAAAGCCCAGATTCCACGGGAATTGATGAAATGGTTTAGAAAACAAAAGAGGGTGATGATCGACAAATATGTGTCATCCGTCTTGAAAAAGTTAAGTTGCATATAAAGTATAATGAAATGCATCTACTAAATTGTTTGTACAGTCATTAAAGAGGTAATAACACGAGATGAAAATTATATTTATTCAAATTACATTTACATAGTATATTTTTAATATTTCAATCATCAGTCAGGCTTTTGGACAATCGGTAAAAGTCAGCCCGGCGATCAACGTGTTAAGGACAGTTTGTGTCTACTTAGAGATGGTCTATTCTCTAAATTACTTAGAGTGAAATTCCGCTCGGAAAATGGAGTGATCGCCGAGTCCCATCGAGTCACTCGAATTTGAGTTTTCCGCTCGTATAAAATGAATTCTCCGCTTTGAATCGGCGAGTGAATATTTTCGTTCAAAATTGAAAAGTGAATCCCACCGGTACAGGAACACATTCACCCCAATCGATTGAAACATTCGCTTATACAGCGTCAGCATCCACTCTAAGCTTGAATAAAACATTCACTCTGGCGATTTTGAGTGGCAGTATTTTCACTATCTCTTCGACAGAAAATACTATCGTTTTTCATTTAAAGCGCTACATTCGAGCAAATATTTCTTAATGAGCACCGGAATCATTATTTCACCTGGATGAAGTATTACTTGAATGTAGCGCACCGAAAGAAAAAAAAATGCTACCCTCAAGTAACACTTGTTTAACCCGAGTAAAATAATCACTCCAATATTCCTTAGCAGATATTTACTTGAATGTAACATTTTCTTTCACTGTCACAAATGGGTGAAACTAAAGGCACCGAATTAATTTACACGCGTAATATTTTGCTGCTCTTAGCTCCTGCTGTGTTGCAGAATTAAAAGTTTAACAAAGGGCCAAAATTTCGACTCGGGATATTTCTCTCGTCTTTCCTCTTTTTCACGTCTCGCTCGTCTAGCGACACGAGAAACCGAGGGTGCGCGGCGCAGAGGCGCATTCTGTCGATAGGAGCTGTCGCTTTAAAGGATTCGGGATACACGCGTATTCGGGAACGCTACGCTTACTGCACGCTTCACATCACCCGGCAGGCATCAGCAAGAAACTCAAAGCGGTGTTAAATGTCCGATGTTGTAATTTAAGCCGCTTTTCAACGTAGTACGCTGTGCATCAGCTAACGAGGTAAACGGAAAGGCTTGCGAGCGTTCATGAGAAACGCAAATTGTTTATAACTGTAGCGTGCCGTGAATACAACTCGTCTCCGATTTCGCACGTCGCATTTCGAGAGATCGGATATCAATTATTCGTTAATGTCGACGCGCCGGGCTTTCGCGTAAAGGTGCGCATGCACTTAGCGAACGAACAGCGAACGTTCGTTAATATAATTTGGAAATGTGTGCGCTTTAACGAATACGAATGGAACGTTACCGATGAAACATTTGTAGATCCACCAAGGATGTGAGTATGGATAATCATATTAAGTTTTTTTTTTTTCGTGAAAGAATGGTACACCACCGTTTTTTCCAAGTTACTGAGTGTTGTGTACCGTTTTTCTTTCGTTCAGATTCATCCTTCAATTTTCTTTTCAGTTACTATTGTCTCATCATTCTTCAATTTTCTCTTCAATTACTATTGTTCACCAATTTTTTTTTTCGTTCGCGATAAGCATTTCCTAGATTTTCGAAATTTTCATATTTTCCTTCTCAACTTCGGCGTCTCGTATTTCGAAAATAAGATACCTTAGGACCTTTTCTTCCTAAAATAAGCCAAGGAATATCCCCTTAAATTTTGTATTTGAAAGTCACCCTGTATGTAGTAATGGCATTCTGCATTAGTGATTACCCACGTCCCGTGTTCAGTGAGCTCTTCTGATTGGTACATACTTTTAGATCTACAGATAAATTCACAGTTGAAAAGAAACGAACGAATAACAAGCCCCAAAGCGAACGTCCGAATATTTTCAGTTACTATTGTTTCGTCATTCTTCAATTTTCTTTTCAGTTACTACTGTTTACCAATTCGCTTTCGATGTTTGTTCGCTGTTCGTTCGCTAGGTGTATACGCACCTTGACGAGTCGCGCATCGCCCGCGGAAAATGTTCGCGTGCCGAGAGAGCGAAGTAGTCGTTGAAAAATCCCGGGAGAAGTGACTCGTAATAATGATCGTACGATGCTTACCTTGTACGATGAAAGGTTGTCGATGGTCTCGCGCCAAAGGGTGAAGCAAGTGCCGCGTTCCGCCAGCAAGATCTGAATCCGCCTCTTGGATCTCGATCGCGTCTCTCCGAGATCAAGCACCACCACGGGTATACCGGTGAAGCGGAGCTCCCACCTTTCCGTCTGCGAGGCGCTACCTAGATACAGGTTCGCCAGTGACTCGCAGACGAATACCTGAGGGGAACGCGAAACATGAGTTATTATCCCTTGAACGCCCTTCGACATCCGACGTGGATCGCGATTGCGGCGCGTTCACCCTCGACTTCTCGTCAATGCACTCAGAGAAATGGCTTAGTAATAGCAGCTGAATCTCATTAGTTAGTTTCGAACTTTACTGTCATTGCTGGCTAGATGTGAAGTGCATTTGCTGCGAGGTACTAACTTTATTAGCTGAAATTATTAGTATGAATTATTAAGGTTGGTTATTGCTGCTCTCTCTCTCTCTCTCTCTCTCTTTCTCTTTGGTATTATACTATATAGAGACAATATGAAACACGTTGATATCAATCGACGAAGTGATCTGCATGTAATTGACAAGGAAACCTTGCAAACTTGAAAATTCAGATGTAAATTAAAACGTATAAGCTAAATGAAATATCGAAAAGTTTTATAGAAAAAATATCTCTATTTAACTACATCGTTTTATTAAATAAATAATTTTTTTCGAAAAAAAAAACGAATGGCATAGTTAAATAGAGATATTTTTTCTATAAAGCTTTTGTATAAAAAATTTGTTTGATATTTCACTTAGTTTACATATGAGATATATTAAAAAAAAAAAACGAAAGCCTCTGTAACTTTGAAAGGTGATTTTCACTTCAAGTAATTGGAGTATTACTCAATATGTTACGAAAACGATTAAAAATTTCAAAGTGACATCTTCAGCTATCAGCGTAAGCTGATATTTTATCTGATACTTTATCTGATACAGAAATCCTGCAGCTTGTATATACCGAATGCGTCAATGCTCCAATCAGGAAAACTTCAAAGAACATTTTTATATGTTTCTAATGAAATTTAGAAGTCTAAAAGGATACAAAATATTTGCGAAAATTAAAGAAAAATGTTTATATATCTCGCTCAGATTTTAGCTGCCACAGCTAAATTTCAGCACTTGCGGCTGATTCTTTTCCTGAGTATGCGCATAATTTGTTGTCGTCTCCCAATCAAAGCGTTTATCGTGCGAACGACTCTCGTTGCTCGTCAAGTTCTCACCTGCGACTTTAATCCGCGGAAGAATGTCTCGAGTTGCTCTCGTTCCATCTGACTGACCGGGTCGAGGCGGGACTCGTCGCTGTTTTCGGAACTGTCGCTACCCTCGTAGCTCGAAGTGGCGGAAGTGTCTGCCTCACCCGTCGAGGACAATCGTCTTCGCGTGGTGCCGCTGTATTCGCTGTAATAGGATGAGCTGTGCAGCGACAGATTCGACTGCAATGCGGGACAAGATGACGCATAAACTGGCCCGTTCATTGTTGCCTGGGAAAGAAAAAGGGAAGCGTCAAAAATCGAAGGCCGATGCTTTCGCGAAAGTTCGTCACGCTCATTGACGCTTATCGTTCCACTCGACATTGTTTTTTGCGAGATCGTTGATAACGAATAACACGTCGTTGCGTAGGAAAATATTTAGCTTACAAATATCCCATAAATATAGAATATCAAAATAATAATAATGATAACCCGATAATCATTTTATTTAACTTTCATCGAATCGCGCGCCTATTGTACCAACAATACAGAAAACATACGGGATTACGCTTATTCATCTTTGTTGCCGGAATATATTCAATGAATATATGAAAGGATCATTATATCACGGAGGAAGAGAGAGAAAGGGGGGGGGGAGGGGGAGGAGAGAGATCACCGCCCTCCTGCGAGCGCGCGCAAATGCTCATCGATTTCTGGTACACCCTGGATTGTGCGAGCGCACCGTAGTGCCATTCTATAAATACCCGCGACCCCTTTTATTAAGCGCAGCTCCGATTACCCCAGGAATTTCGATCGTCATTACAAAATATAGTTGTCGAGCGAAAGCGTAAGCCGTAATCGCATCGTAACTCAACCTACTTACGCACTGCGTAATCACGCTAAGCCGACGTACGTGTGACCGAAATATTACAACTGACGATTCATCATGATGCGACATCTAAAAAAGCCGGAGGACAATATTTTGTCCACATTCATTATTCGATGTTGCGCGATATGATATAAGAAATGCTGCCCCAAGGTTTCTTCTCTCTCATATATAATGTCTCGTAATATCAGTAATAATAATAACTTTATCGGCCGCTATAAATATAAGATAAAAATATAGGATAAATATAGGATATTTCCGATTTTAATATAACATTTGATGAACTTATTCATCCTTTCGCTGCGTACGACGGATATACCGATCCAAGAGTCTTACAAGTACTGATATGTATTTTTAATAACGTTCTTTAGGCAGCAAGTCTTGAATCTTCTTGAATAAGTCACTGCTTTCTTGTCACTTCTGGTCAGCCTTGTTATTGTGGCATCATGATTATACAAATAGATTCTACATTGATTCTTCAAATTTGCAGGATTAACGTATAATGTAAAAAAAAACAGAATCAAGATTTCGATTGGAACGATGTCACGTATTGCTTAAACCAGCCACGTAAACCAAACACACGAACATTTCGCGACATACCGGTGACCAAAGCTTCGTTAAATTTCACGCCAGAAGTAAACACGGGATAAAAAGCGAACGATAGAGAAAGGCATGCGAAAGAGAGAGAGAGAGAGAGAAATATATATATATATAAATAGAGCGAGAGGGAGAGAGTGTTTCGCAGCGCGTCGCGCGCAGGGGTGGAGGACCCTTTCCTCGCGTTTCTCCGACGTATGACCCCAGAGGTGAGAAAAACTGGGTCGTCGACTTCGATATCGCGATGACGCAAGGGAAAGATACCGGCAGCAGCGCCGTAAAGAGCTAATCGGTCTCCCAACGGTACGTGGCAGCGATCTACTTAAGGTAGCTGATTCGTAAATTAATTTCTTTAAGAATCTTCAAATTTTGACAGCATATGAATCGAAACACGGTCTACGCATATGTGGAATTAGAAAATTGACCATACCGAAACTGAGATAATTACAGTCAAAATTAGCACTATTTATACATATGACAGACGCGAAAACGGATTTCGATATCATGTTTTTAATTCTGGCCGCCAAACTACTCTCTTACGATTTTAATGAAAATTGCGAAGATAATAAAAGAGACTTGTAGAAAAATATTGTACGAATATTACTAGATCGCTGACCATCTAATTTTTCAGAGATCGATATGTATAGTACACCATTTCTGGCAACGATTGAGGAGGAAAAGTGCCATCGAATAAACCGATTAAATGATACATCCTAATTATTTTTACTGTCCGTTAAGTGATGAGTGCCTTCATCCGGTGAAGTATCCGATGAAATTATCGGCGCGGTTACCGATGAAATCTAATCGGGAAACTAGTCGCCCTTTATAATTCTGTCCGTTGTAATTTTCATGGGGTGAAAGCACGATATGATCGGATACGACGAAATGACGAAATATTCGAGCATTGTACTTGATTGGATATATCCGTTTGTTACTTTTAATTGGATTACCCGACTGGACAGGACCGGATATTTTTCTCCGTGTGTATATCACATTTACAAACATTTACCACGTCGAGTTTGTTCGTGTTACATTAATCATTACTTTTCTGATATTATCACGAACCTACGATCGACTACCTGAATGGCCGCGAGAAAAGCTCGGCCTTAATTCGACCGACGCGTTTCAAGCCGTTCGGATGACTAATCGCGTTACCCATGGCGTTTATCAGTCGTGGCTCTCGACTCTAGGAAGGAATTTCACTACGAACGCCGACGTTGACGGCGATCTCTCGTGTCGTACGTGACCTCTTCCCCCCGTTCATTGATGACGGTGACGACGGTGTCGACGACGACGGGGGGGGATACGTCCGATGCGCGATCGTGTCAACGATCCGCCGGCACTTAATGGCGCGTTACTCACGATCGCTGCTGACGCATCGCCGCTCTGATCCGACCTTATTAACCCTTAAACGGACGGACGGTAGCGGAAATCGATTTTCCCGGCGCAATATGAGCGCGTTCTTCCCTTACGGTGCCTCGTCGGTCACCGTCGATCCGGCGAGGCCGGTTTTGTTTCGTACATACATTCGTACACGTTATATTTCCTCGGTACACGCGTGTCAGCCGCGTTTGCACGCGTATTGCCCATTCGCCGATAGATCTGACAGACGATGTAAATTTTGTCAGCCCGACCAGGCCGGATAAACCAGAAATGTTTCGTATTGCGTGTTTAGATCGTTGTCAAAAACGCGCGACGATCAAAGTGCCTTTAGTTGGAAATAACTGCGAGGCAGACCGATCGACTCGCAACGTCGGTCCTTCGACGAAAAAAAAAACAAGATAAAGGAAAAGGAACAATCTACGCTTTACGTTGAATAGAAACCAAAATATTACAAATGCGCGCGCACATTTCGATGTCCCCCTTTGGAAGACACGTGAGATCCCGACGGGGGGGGGGAAGACCTTTTGAAGTCTGCTTTTGTAGGTCGAACATGTTAATGAACGGGCGAGTCTTTCGAGTTAATTAACACGGCGGCGTGTTTGGCGACAAACCGGTATATTCATCACGCTAATTGTAACCGCCGGTATAATGTATAATTCAGTAGGATTTGTCTCTAAGCCGCCGACGGCGCGGCAGGTATGCGAACGAGGAACTTCCGAAAAAGTCGCGGTCAAGATCATTTAGCCGGGGCAACGACCACGCGTTATAATAGATAACAGACCGACAGAGAAGGAATTAAATATTATGAGAAAATCAAGTATGTAATGTATGTTACTGGCACGATACATAGGATGTTTGATTAATGAACAGTGGCACAACGGCGCTCTCAAGCGTGTCTTCTTACCGGCACAAAGTCACGTGGCTTTGTAAACAATAACACGCATATGGTTACAGGATGATTGCAACACTTTTTTTTTCCATGAGCATTGGGAACGCATCTCGCGTCCAATAAGAGATAATTCGTTTTAGGAATTCTCAGGAAATACATTTTCCTATTGGACACGAGCAAGTGTCCAATATTTAACATATATGTATCGTACTTGTATTCTTGAAGAGGGGTGACATTTTTATATGACAACAATGTAAAAATAACTTTCGCACCGTATAAAACGTGATTTAGACATTCGTATATGTTATATATCGGCTATTATTGGATTGACTGGCTAGTCTCTATTTTCCTACAAATGAAATGAAAACACATGTCTCATTCATAAACTCTTAGAGGACTGGCATACGTGCCATCTCAAAGTAAAAAATTAGCTTTAACAGAGATGATTTGGAAGACTCCTTTCTCTGCACTACGAAAATTTCAAGTATTGAATTCTCTTTTGATGGTTGTTTGCTATACGAATGGAAACTAGAGTTAGGGTCCGATTTTCATTGTTTATATCTGCGACGAACGTCACGAAATTGACTAGAATTAACGGTTCGGATTCAGGATACAATTTTGCGTTGTTCGGCGTTATTCTCATGGACGTCAAAGTAGTGTCAAAATTTCGACTCAGGAATCTTGGACTTAAAAGGAATCTATAGATCAATGAAGCGCGGTAGCGCGCGTTTATAGCGTCTGGTTATGTAAATCTTGCGCGGCTTCCTCTCGGATTCTTCTCAGCGGCGAGAAAAAAAGAAAGAGAGAGAGAGAGAGAGAGAATAATGCGTGGAGAAACCCAAAATCGGACACACCGGACGACTCTCCCTTTCACAATCGACCCGCATCTATCGTCTACGGGTCTCGGCTGTCATGCGCGTTGCGATATCACGGTGGCGTAACGTTACAATTTGAAACGCGAGCCTGTCCCCGCGCGAAATGCACACCGGAAGCGCATTGTCCACGTTGCGGCGAGGGATGCGTCATTGTTCAGCGAACGCGCGATAAGGGCCCGCTCTGTTTTCGCTCCTAGATAAACCGCGGATAATTACGGATCGCACGCCGCCTCGTATTCTCACGCACACGCTCTCCGCGGAAAATCATTATCAGGCGGATTAATTGGCGCACTAGACTCTGAGCGGCTGTGAGACTTCCTCTGTTCTCGAGTAAGAGTCTCCAGGGTTCAATGATTTTCCTGCGCCGCTTAACGGCTAGCCTCTCCCCTCTGTTTTGCGTTACCTCGCCCGAAATTTTCATGCTACTCGGACGCTCTTAACGCTTAGACCAGTCCAGTTAGTTTCGTAGAGCGTGGAACCCACGAGACCCCCGAAGTTGCAACGAGCGCAACAGTATATATATGTATAATAGTATATATGTACAATAGAATACAAAATATACCATGTGTCCGATGAAAGGATGATGTGTGCGCGTGATATTTACTTCAAATGTTCTATATGCATTCCATATCTCATATGATATCTGATACAGAGGAAGAGC